GAATTATCACAGAGTGCTAACCAGTGCTCACCCTCAAATTAACTTTTGTTTACTTATTTATTATGTTGATATCCCACATGAGAGCCAGTGTGGTGTAGTGGTTAAGAGCGGTAGACTCGTAATCTGGTGAACCGGATTCGCATCTCCGCTCCTCCACATGCAACTGCTGGGTGACCTTGGGCTAGTCACACTTCTCTGAAGTCTCTCAGCCTCACTCACCTCACAGAGTGTTTGTTGTGGGGGAGGAAGGGAAAGGAGAATGTTAGCCTCTTTGAGACTCCTTTGGGTAGTGATAAAGCAGGATATCAAATCCATACTCCTCCTCCTCCCCACTTTATCCTCACAACACCCCTGTGAGGTATGTTGAGAGACGGTGACTGGCCCAAGGTTGCCCAGTGGGCTTCATAGCTGAGTGGCCCCTGGAACCTCAGGCTCCCAGCTCTTAGTTCAACACTCTAACCACTACAGGACACTGCCCGCTCCTGCGCTCTTTCCCTTTTTAGGATCCTTTACCAATCAGAGGGTGCCTTCAAATAGAGGACTGCCATCTGTAAAGGAGGATGCATGGGCTCCCTACCAGAAAACGGGAAGGTCACATACAGTTCAGAGTGGTCCGATCATCGGCCTTCAAGACCTGTTGTGCACCAATCTTGAAGAAGCCATAGACGCAAAGGTCAATGACTCATGCTGTCATTTGTGCCACCCCCACCTCAAACGCTGGGTCTCACGAACTGCAGACTTGTGGCAGACAAGGAGCTTCAAAAGGAATTGCTGTGGCATGCCCATTGTGATCCATGCCTGCTGGCTGGGTCTGAGCCACCTTTTAAATTTAGGAACATAGAATCGTAGAGTTGGAAGAGGCCCAGAGGATCATCTGGTCCAACCTCCTGCAATGCAGAAATCTGAACTAAAGCATCCATGACAGAAGACCATCCAACCTCTGATTAAAAACCTCCAAGGAAGGAGGTTCCTGGGAGCAGGGGTCTCTCCCAGATGTACCTGGAGATGCTGTGAGGGGCTGAACCTAGAGCCTTCTATATGCCGAGCATATGCCTGAACACTGCATTGAATGACTAGACAATATCCAAGTTGCCTAATCCTTTGAAAGAGGATTAGACAACTCCATGGAGGACAAGGCTAATATTAGCTGCCATCTATGATCACTATGTTCTACCTCCATCGTTGGAGGCAGTATGCTAGGAATCGGTCGCTGGGACTCACCAGAGCGGAGAGTGCTGGTGAACTGAGGTCCTGCTGGTGGACTTCTTGCAGGCATCTGGTTCGCCAGATGTGAGAACAGGATGCTGGACTAGATGGGCCACTGGCCCAATCCAGCAGACTCTTTGTACTGGGCCCGGGGGTAACCCAAGAACCGCAGTCCAGATCTGGTCCAGAGTCCATAGGTTCCGCTAGGAGTCAGTCCAACAGGGTCAAGGCGGAACACGAGGCAGGAAACCAGGCAAGGACAGGTACAGGATCTCAGGCAGGGTCTGGCATAAAGCAATATTGCTCCCGCAACCTGGGGTGGGATCTGGCAGCCTTTTATCTTTGTTGGGGTAACAGCTGGTCCCGATCCCCCGGCGACTCACCTCCCTGTTTCACCCGAAGGCGAGCACTCCCCCTGCGAATACTCAGGTCTCTCCTTCTCTCAGACCTTAGTCTCTGCAGCTCAGGAGATGTTGGTGGGTTACTAGACCCAGGGGCCACCTCAGCCTCCCCTGACCAAACCAGTAGTGGAGCAGCTGTAAGTGATGGTCCAGCTGAAGGCAATGATGTAATCACTGCATCTGGAGTCAGGGCAAGCTCAGGCCCCTGACTCGGCCCAGCTGGGGTTTGTTGCAGGGGAACCTGTGCAGACTGGGACTCTTCAGGATCAGGCCCCAGACTTGGTTCAGATGATGCTTGAGGCAAAGGATCCGGTGCAGACTGAGACTCCTCTGGTCCCGAGCCCGAGCCCCAGGCCATCACACTCTTCCTATGTTCTTACGTCATAGGGCAACTGGATAGCTCAGTCAGTAGAACATGAGACTCTTAATCTCAGGCTTATGGGTTCGAGCCCCACATTGGGCAAAAAGATCCCTGCATTGCAGGGGGTTGGACCAGATGACTCTTGTGGTCCCTTCCAACTCTACACTTCTATGATTCTGCCTTCTACAGAGTCAGATTAACTGTCCACCTAGCTCAGTATACATTGACAGTGGTTTTCCAGGGGCTATCCTCAGCTCTAGCTGGACATACCGGGGACTGAACCTGGGACTTACTGCATTCAAAGCTGATGCTCTGCTACTGCTCCAGAGCTGTTCCTGACTCCTCTCACCCACACCAGAGAAGCAGCTGGGAAGGGATGTACTCTGTAAGACAGAAGACTCCACTTTTGATGCCCCCAAGGTGATTTCATGAAGAAATCATGATTTCATGACAATTGCTTTGTCTTGGAGAAGGAAGGAAGGAAGGAAGGAAGGAAGGAAGGAAGGAAGGAAGGAAGGAAGGAAGGAAGGGGGGGGCAGGGAGAGAGAGAGAAAGCCTCCATTGCATGCAAAGTATTTTGTGGCAGGAGGATCATCTAAAACTTTCAGATGTTTATAGCACTAAATGGAGATGAAAACCTTGTCAGAAGATTATCTGTAATTTCTCATCAGGCTATTGAAGAAAGACAACAGGGCAGCATTATAGAGCCCAGACAAAATGTGACTGCAGCAACAGTTCACCTAATTATAGCCACTGAGGAGCTCAATAAGGAGAAGAGCTTTTTCTCTTTGACCTTTCTGATCACCAGGGCTTTACATAAAAGAGTGCATTAGCTTCTGCCTTTGTGAACAGCAGGAGCCAATCTCATGTTGACTTTAGCGGTGAAGCACAACACATCTGTACTGCTTATGAAACAACTTCAGTGAAGCTTAGGCAGGAATGGACACATTTCAGTTTTGCTTCCTCTCAGTTCCCCATTTTTCACATCTTAATTTCAGGTCTCCACATTTTCAGATTATTAAAAAGTCCTTGTGAAAATTCACCAGCATTTTAGTGTGCATTTCTGCTAATATATTATTATTACTACTATTATTCATTTCATTTCTACACTGAGGTCAACCACAGAATGCACAATTGTACGCAATTTTGCCAATTTTGGCAAAGCCATCCCCCCCCCAATATAATGCATTTTCTATGTTGTGTTCACTGGTATATGCATTTATACACACACTTAACTCCAGCATGTACATTTTTGTGCGTACTATTTAGCTGGAGAACTGCATTACAAAATTCAGAGCATGAGAATTTTGAAGGAGAGTTATGTTTTGGCTCCCATTGTTGTGGCACCAGAACCAATGACAGGCATAGCCAACTCTTTCTGGGGTTGTTGTTCTCCTCCGCCACCTCCTCTTCCCTGCTGGGTTCTGTAATGGCAACACTGAGACTAAGGAGGAGGCTGAAGCTGACAGGCAGTGCTGCCACCTTCTGGGCTGGAGGTAAATAAGAAGGGGTGGTGGTGGCTGAGGGCAGAATGAGGTTGGTGGGCAATTTACCATTCACTGTAATGGACCTGAAATCCAAAGTGTTTTTTTCCCTTTTTCTTTTTTTAAAAAATTAGGGAAATGTTAAATGCATATTTTTCAAGGGTTGTGTGCAGATTTTTGCATTAGTAGAACTTTTATAAGTCACTTGTATTAAGATGAATAAGGTTTGAAAAGTTGGATTGTTAAGACTATAAGGCTTTATGGACGTGCATGAATATGTCAATACAATGAAACCAAGAGGGGGAGTGGAGGGAAGTCAATTGAGTTAAGGTTTACAATTTGAATTTCTATATTTGGCTTGTTTTGCTTTGTTGTTGTACTATTATTGTTTTGGTTTCTGGTTTTTTTGTCATTTTTGGAAAATTTATAAATTGTTATCTAATAATAATCGTAATAATAATAATAATAATAATAATAATAATAATAATATCACATCCAAAGTAGTGTAAACATCTAACCTGTAAAAAAAGGACACATCTGAACCCACAAATTCATTTGAAGGCTCACATTCCAAGCCACGTGGATTCCTGTCTCTTTCTCGAGTTTCTGGCAGGCCCCAAGGGGGAGGCTTTGGCAGGCAGTTCCTTCGCCCTCTCACCCTGGCCAAGGAAGTGCCACACTTCAGGGAAGCTTGCTGTTGACTTTTGCAATTAGGTGGAAAGCGAATGGGCAGGAGCTGGTTGGAGGCGGCTGGCTCATTAGAAAGGGCTTTGCTTCCCCTACCTATTCTGCATTACAGCAGCACTAATGAGCCCCTCCACTTTCCCCATTCCGCTGAGCTATGACACCCACACTATTTTCACATGGCATCATTTGTGGAATTGGAGCCGCACCAAGCCCAAATGTTTCTCCAATTCGGCAGCATCCAAAGACCTTGCACATACCAGCCCCCAAACATTTTATTGGTGCTCTCTTTGGGCTTGTTAATGTATTCATTTCTTTATTTCCCCCCTGAAAAATAACAAATCAGTATTTATTTAATTTCTATCTCCCTCCCCCTCCCAGGAGCTTAGTTCTTTCTTTCTTTCTTTCTTTCTTTCTTTCTTTCTTTCTTTCTTTCTTTCTTTCTTTCTTTCTATAATTACATTTCTATCCCAAACCAATGCAATACTTTTTTTTGCATTCAGAACATTGGGAAACACTTGAAAACAGTCACATATTATCATCACTAATAATTTCAAGGTTGACAGGATCTTTTAGTCTTCAAATGGCTGGATGAACAGGGATGTTTTACAATTCCTCCTGAATGTTTCCCTCACAACAGCCCAGTAGGTTCGGCAAAGAGATTGTGGCTAGCTCAAAGTCACCCAGTGGGCTCTGTGGCTCCGAGTCTGTTTTTTAAATGTCTGCGTTGAGACTGGTAGGACTGGTCTGGGAGGCCAACAATAGGTGGCGCCAGACCCAGCGGTAGGCTGAGCCAACTCATTCTAGTTTTGTCCCTATCCTCCTCCTTCCTCCTGAATTCTATAAGAACAACACCGAGACTAAGGATGAGGATGAGGCAGTGCCACCCACCCCCCGGGCACACTGCAAGCAAGATGGCAGGCAGGTGGGAGGCTGACTTGGGGCAGAGTGCGGTTGGTCAGGCAGTGCCCCATTCATCACAATCAGGCAAGCTTCTACCACTTAAGAGTTTTGTATCTTGAAACTGGGCTTGGACCAGTTTCCTCTGTAAAGTAGGAGACACAGCCACCTTTCGTGAGAACAAATACTTAAACTACACTCCCTCTTTGGTTATTTAACTTAAACAGTGGTACCTCGGGTTAAGTACTTAATTCGTTCCGGTGGTCCGTTCTTAACCTGAGGTACCACTTTAGCTAATGGGGCCTTCCCCCGCCGCCGGAGCACAATTTCTGTTCGCATCCTGAAGCAAAGTTCTTAACCTGAGGTACTATTTCTGGGTTAGTGGAGTCTGTAACCTGAAGCATCTGTAACCTGAAGCGTATGTAACCCGAGGTACCACTGTAATGCAAGAGACAGGGTCCTGAAGAACAATATGGGTCACTCCTGTGTAGTGAGTGACTGTGTAGCAGTTTCCCCTGGCAAATAGGGGCATTGGCGCATGGTGTGGAGAGAGGGGTGTGGCCTGGAGAGAGGGCATGGCTTATAGGGTGGAGGTGTTGCTTAGCAACCAGGCAAAATGGCATGATCTTCCTGAGGTAGCATGCACTTTGATTGACTGTGTAATTCTGAGGGAGTTTTTCCTCTCCTTAAAGTTTAGTTGTTATGTAACAAGGCTGGAATTAAGAAAGACAAAACCTCTCTGCTCTTTTGTCCTCAAATTATGCAGTTTTTGTTCGGTTTGCACAGTTAAGTGTTATCAGGATTTATTTTCTCTCTGGACTCCGTCAGTGTTATTTAAGTGACTTTGCTAATTCATGGCAGCTGTAACTCCCATGTTGGGCTGCTGCTTTGGCAAAGCTCGCTGTGATCTGGCTGCAACATTCCTCATCACAATCACTTCACGGAAGGTCTCTGAAGCTCTTCCAAGCGCCTTGCCAACATCTGGAGTGCTAATCGGGTTGTGTGTTCCTTCCTGCAGTGCTGAGTTCCATAACGCCTTGACCTCCAGTTGCCTGACTGCATTTGCTGTCACTGTTGTGGTTTTCTGGTGCATCACCTTGAGGCGTTGTGCTCTTTAATGAGTGTTTTTACCAAGCTGGGCCCAAACTGGGGGTTTGTTTGGCAGCACTCTCCAGATACAGCTACTGAGGAGATTCGGAACTGTGCTGCTGACCAACACTAGGTTAGGAAGCCCACAGAGGTCACTTCTTGAAGAGTTTTGAAAATCAGCATTATAGGTCACCAAAGAAGCAAAGTGCATTGAGAGTCAGGGGAGAGTGTTGTCCCCAAAAAGAAAATAATGGTATATTGCACATTAATGCTCTCACTGTAAACCTGTTTTTCCTTAAATAATTCCTGCTTATTTTGATGGGGTTAACTTTCAAGGAAGCTTGCTTACATGGAATCAGATGATTGGTCCATCTAGCTCAGTATTGTTCCCACAGACTGGCTGTGGCTCTCTAGGATTCTGGGCAAGAGATTTTCCAAGCCCTACCTGGAAATGCAAGGAATTAAACCCAGAACCTGCTCTACTACTGAGCTATATAAGAAGATGCCTTATATGCATACTGTATAACCGACCTGTTTTAAGCAGGCCATCTCAGATTTATAGAAGCTTCTGATCCTAGTTCCAGATGTCCCATTTTGGCTCCCGCGCTCTGGCCGTGCCAGAGTGTGGGAGCAAAAGACAGATCCATTCTTCTTCCTCCTTCTAGAAGCAGCACCGGCTAGATTACCACATTACTGCCTGCACGGACTGGCAGCAGTTCTCCAGGGTCTCTCTCATCCCCAACTGGCAATGCCAGGGCTTGAACCTGGCACCTCCTGCGTGCAAGGCAGACATTCTATGACTGAACCACAGTCCTCATGATTCGGCATGTCAAAATTGCCTTCTTTTCAAGTAGTCCCAGCTGTCCAGCAAGGGGGAAGGCAAGCGGTACCTATGTGTGAGCTACTTGTTTGAAGTGGGGAGTGTTTACCGCCCTCAGTCTCTCCCCTCTGGCGTCACCTATGACCCTAATACTTGAGCGTAATTGCTCTGCCCAAGGATACATGTCTGTAACTTGCACCAGAGGGGGGACATGGTGTTCTTTCAACATGATTGGCAGCGGAGGCCAGAGAGTGAAAGCAACAAGGTACTGGTGAGAGAATTCGCCCGCCGCCCTGAAGACACGCTTTCCATATTGAATGTCCTGCGAGGCTTTTGGAAGCTCTCTTCCAGAGTCTTCAGATCTCGACCTGCCTCAAAGGGCAGAGCGAAGGGGCCCCTGACCCTGACCCTGCTGCTCTTGATATGGCTGAGAGCAAACTGGCTGAGAGCAATTCAGAGGTATTTATTTTTATCCTTGATGCTCTCTTAGCGATGCTTGCCTGGAAAAAGAGCTCTCTTGAGCAGCTGGGACCCCAAAAGTGTCCGAAATATATTCAGAGTCGAGTGTGGATTTCATGCTCTTTATTCAGCTCATAGTGGTGAGGAGGAATCAAGTTCCCCCAGAATGTCTGCTTTATATACATTATTTACACAATGGGCCCCACATGCTTGGTTAATTCTGGGATTCACCTGTATGCCAATCACGTTTCGGATTCACTTCCACCTGGAGCTGGATTGGGTGGCTCCTGTGGACCAATCAGACTGCTGCATTCCGGATCCTATTGTTCTAGGACCAATCAGACTGCTGCATTCTGGATCCTATTCAACTCAGTACATAACAGTGTCCCTGCCCCACCGATTGCTTGAGGAGTGAGAGGCTGGCCTCTGCCCGTTTCTGCATGCTAGGTTTCGGCTCCACCTTCACTAAACATTTAAAACAGCACCACACCGCTTTAAACAGGCATGGCTTCCCTGCAACGAATCCTGGGAAACTTAGTTTGTTAAGGGTGCTGAGAGTTGTCAGAGACCCTGCTTCCCCTCACAGAGCGATGCTTCTCTGGGAAGAAGAGGGGTCAATTGTTAAACCACTCAGCTGATGGGTCATAGGAGCCTGCCTTCCTCAAGTGGTGGGCTTCTGTTCAATAGAAACTGCTTCTCCCTCCCGGAGCTGCTCTTTGGCGCTGTCCTGCATGGCTTCAACACAGGAGGGGGAAAGGAGCCCTGTAGGGAGGCTTGAAGCAGGAACAGACTTTGGTCTTTCAAAATTCAGCCGCGCCCTGTGCGACGCCAAAATTCGGCACTCCTCACCTCTTGCCTTCCGTTTTTCTCAATTCACTATGTCATAGTTGTGACGCCCTGCGGTGCCCCCTCAGCTCGGCATCCAGTGCGGCAGAACTAGTAGCGCTGCTCTAAATCCACCTCTGCTTGCAAAGCCCTTTGCAGCCCTCCCTGTCTTCTCCTTTGCACCTCCGACAGAGTTGTGGGTTTGAGCGCCATGTTGGGCAAATGATTCCTGCATGGCAGGGGGGTTGGCCTAGATGACCCTCGTGGTCCCTATGATTCTATGAAAGCAGAAGTGCATAGGAGCCCTTTCCGATGCTCCTCCTTTCAACCTCAGATGTTGGGGATTTGGTTTGCATGCAACAGTACTCTGTATATGAAGGGGTGGGTGAATGATCTTAGTCTCTGTGTGCATTGGGGATTAAGAATAATGAAGAATTGTGTCCAAGGAAATGATGGTTGCTGAAACATAAGTCGTTTAAATAGTGAATGCTGAGTGCATGTCTGAACTCCTGAGCTCAGAATTAAAGTATATTTGTAAGATCTATCTGCAAGTACATATAATATATAATGAGTATATATAATATTCATAAATATGAGGGAGAAAGTGAGTAAAGAGAGCAAGAAAATGTTGGAGAGAAAGAAAATGTACCTCAGGTTATCTGTGTGGGCTCTGATGTTCAGGTGTGTGGGTTCACTTTCTGTTGTAAATGAGTGAAAAAAATATCTAAAATAGGAAACAGTAGAATCTAGACAGTCAGGACTCAATTCTACAGCTGCAAATAAAACGTTTGCAATGTGTTGTAACATGCAATAGACAAATGTGACCCTAGATGGTGAGAGTGAGCTATGCAAAATTCAATGTGTTTTTCAAATCGCCCCCCCCCCAAAAAAAGCATTTTCACAGTGTTTTTTTATGTGTGTGTAGATTCCACACTAGCCTTGTGTTAAAATATTTTGAAAAGAGCAGAAGGCAAGATGGATGTAGGAAATAGGGTAAAGGGACTTTTGGCCTGATCTGTGATGGACATCCAGTTCCCCACCCCAAACCTTCTCCCCATGTCTATTTCTGCAAGCCTGGGCTCGCCTCTGCCTAAACCACACCATCACATTTGAACCATGTAGCCCTCGTGCCTATTGAGCAAGCAATGCAAATCTGTCACCTTTTGAGGTGTCCATCAATCTCCTTAACCATCATTTCAATCACCGCCAGTCCTTGTAAATAAATGCAGCCTCCTCTGTGCCCTGCCAAGATCCATCAGTGCAAAGTGTTCCACGGAGAAGCGCTGAATTAGAAATATCATCCTTCCATCACCTGGCAATAACAATAGAGGCGAGAAGGTACTGTATATAAAGTTCCTGTTCCCCGCTTTCTGAAAAGTAAATGTACTTAATTTGCTAGCAAGATGCAGCCTTGGTGAAAGCCTTTGGATGTGAGCTGTGCAGATTGACTTTTAAAAAAGCAAAACCCTGGAAACAAAGCAATTTTCTGAATTAATTTCAGCCAAAGAGAAATGGCATTGTGTTTCCTTCCCACGTGGTGCAGCAGTACAACTGAGGATTGCTTGGATGGCTTTAAAAGTGGATGAGATTCATGGAAGATACGTCTATTACTGTTGTCCTTTGGCAAGTGAGTGGGGCTCAGCCCACAGGGGAGAAGGCATGTCTCCCTTGCTCTCAGTTGCCTGTGCAGCAACTTCCCCTGAGGACATCTGAAATAAGGGCTTCCTTTCCAGCCCTACCTGGAGATGCCCGTGACTGAACCCGGGACATGGAAAGCAGATGTTCTGTTACTGAGCTATGGCCCTTCCTGGAACCTGCCTTTTACCAAGCCGGAACATCGGTCAATCTAGCTCAGTATTTCACACTGTTGCTGGAAAACACCGTGGGGTTGGAGGAGTGCTCTTGTGCTCAGGTTTCTGCTTCCGGGTTTCCCCACAGGAATCTGGTTGGCCACTGTGAGAACACGATGCTGGACTGCATGGGCCGTTGGCCTGATCCAGCCGGGCTCATCTTAGGTTCTTATTGCTTGCACTGGCTGGCAGCAGCGCCACGGGGGGCCTTTCCCAGCCCTACTTGTAGATGCTGGGGACTGAAGCTGAGACCGGGTGCTGTACCACTGTAATAGATCCTCACCCTTTCCCCTGTCTCCAGGCTCATGTCACTTGCGCCCTCTTTAAGCTGTGTGAAATGGGAGAGGAGGAGTTCTCAACATGGAATGAAACAGCTCTCTCCAGTTCCTGCTCTGACACCCAGGATGCTTTCCTCGCTTCTCTCCATCAGTTGGGACCAGCCAGGTGTGAAAAAGTAGACACTGAGAAGCCCACAAGCGGCCCGTCACATTGCCTTGTCTGCTGTCACATCCAATAAGCCCAGAACTGGTGATTGTGTGCTATGTCCAAAACAGTTGTTTACAATAGGTTTTCTTGCTCTATAAACACCAGGCAAAAAAAATATCCTCTCAATATTTTAAAAAAGCTTCCTACTCCATCTAAAACAAGGTCTCCACATCATACCAGGGCAAGCTCAGAGTGTTAGTATTAGTATATAAAGCCCTTAACAGCTTGGGACCAGTAACCTGTGAGATTGCTTTAGCCTGTATGCGTCCACTTGACGGCTTCAGTGTGCAGAAAACTGGCACTGTTACAAGTGCCGAAAAATACTTGTTCCATGTTTGTATGAAATTGATATTTTAGTGTGGCAGCTGTCACACTTTGACTCTCTTTGCCTATTGACATCAGGCAGAGGCCTTCTCTGTACTCTTTTTATCACCTGCTTAAAACATTTTTGTTAGGCAAGCCTATCCAGTCATGTAGAATGTGGACATGTGCTTTAATCTGGTTTTTAACTTAGAGTTGATTTTAATTACTTTTTGAACATTTTAAATGGTTGTTTTTAACTTTTTAAAAACTGGTAATTTCATTGTTTTATTATTTTGTAAACCACATTGAGGTGTGTGGGTTTTTGTTTTTTTACACCAGGATTCTGCACTAGCCCCAGACCTGTTCACTGTCTCTGCTGCTGCACAGCGTTCTGAACAGGTGTGGCCAAATCCCCTCCAGCCCACCTCAGGCTAGCTTTCCGCTTCTCACACTGAGATGTACCTTTCCTCAACTGCCCAGCATTTATTTCTGTGTTAAGATGGAAGCTCATCCCTTTGGGGACAGGAGAACATCTCTCCAAAAAATAAGGATGTGCAAGATCGGAGCACCGTGGCTTGAATCTCCATATATATATATAATTTTACACCTTCTGATGAAAAGAAAACAACATGGAGCATATCAGCTGAAGAGTTAGAAATGATTGTTAAGAGGAGGAAAAGGAAAATATTTCATAGCTATCTGTGCAAACTCAACACCTCTGTAACACCTGCCAAGACCAGAGAGGGTTTGTATAGGTTGTTAATACGCGTATAGCACTGCTGACATGAATGGACCAAGGTCTCAAAGTCCTAAAGGGAAAAGAAAGAATTCTGACCAACATGGAGTAAGGGCAGAAAGAGGCAAATGCTTTTTCTCTTTCTCATTATATAATACCATTTTTACCTCACATTTTTCTGGCTCTGGTTTTCGTTAAGCCCCATCTGCATCATGCAAAGAATCTTGGGGACTGCGGTTCCTTAATGATGCTGAGAATTGTTAGAAGGCCCCTATTCCTCTCACAGAACTACAATTCCCAGAGATCCTTGGGAGGAGGGATTGACTGTTAAACCGCTCTGTAAATTGTAGCTCTGTGAGGATAACAGAGGGGTCTCCTAAAAATTGGCAACATCCTGAACAAGCCACACTTCACAAGATTATCAGTGGGAGGCAATGACTTTTTAAAAGTGATATAGTGCTGCTGGGAAATGATATATAATGAAATGAAAATGATGTCTAAAATAACGTTTGTAAAAACAACAACCCAGAAGCCTTTCTTCTGGGAATTATAGGGATAGAACTGCCTAAATTGTATAGAAATTTATTCATGTAAGCGACTACAGCGGCAAGAATGTTACTTGTCCAAAAATAGAGAGGAGAAGAAGTCCCAGCAAAGGAAGAATGGATACAAAAACTTATGGAATATGCAGAAATGGTGAAACTTACCAGAAGAATAAGAAATCAAAATAACAAACTTTTTGTAAAAGAATGGAAATGGTTTATTGAATATTTACAGATAAATTGTAAACAGATAAAAACACTGGCAGTATTATTGTAACAACCAGCAGCTGTATAAAAGTATATATATAAAGAAGATAAATAAATGAGTAAGTTAAGTTAATTTGGATATGCAGAAGAAATTAAAAATAAATTTAAGGAACTGCAGAAAGAGGGGGAAGGAAGTCAAGTTTTAAAATGCCAGAATGAATGTAAAATCAGTGAAATGTGTGTGTGTGTATATATATATATATATATATATATATATATACGAAAAGTATAAAGAATTTTTAATAATAATAATAATGCAGCATTAAATGTATAGTACAGATGGGGACTAACTCATACTCAGAGTAGACCCACTGAAATTAATCAGCACATGTTTTGTTTTAGCCCCTATCCATGCCATACATTTAAAACAATATCCTAGTTTAAACAGGCATGGCTTCCCCCAAATGCTCCTTGGAACTGTAATTTGTTCAGGGTCCTGAGAGTTGTTGTTTAGTCGTTTAGTCGTGTCTGACTCTTCGTGACCCCATGGACCAGAGCACGCCAGGCACTCCTGTCTTCCACTGCCTCCCGCAGTTTGGTCAAACCCATGCTGGTAGCTTCGAGAACACTGTCCAATTATCTCGTCCTCTGTCGTCCCCTTCGCCTTGTGCCCTCCATCTTTCCCAACATCAGGGTCTTTTCCAGGGAGTCTTCTCTTCTCATGAGGTGGCCAAAGTATTGGAGCCTCAGCTTCACGATCTGTCCTTCCAGTGAGCACTCAGGGCTGATTTCCTTCAGAATTGATAAGTTTGATCTTCTTGCAGTCCATGGGACTCTCAAGAGTCTCCCCCAGCACCATAATTCAAAAGCATCAATTCTTCGGCGACCAGCCTTCTTTATGGTCTAGCTCTCACTTCCATACATCACTACTGGGGAAACCATAGCTTTAACTATACGGACCTTTGACCCCAATTCCCCACAGGGCTACAGTTCTCCGAGTTCCCAGGGAAGAAGAGGGATTGGCTTTTAAACCACTCAGGTTGCCAATGTGTGGCCGGGATCCTGAAGTAGGCTATTGCCTGCAAGGTAAATAAAACAACTTCGCCATCTGCTGGACACTCGGGAAATGCATGCATTTTAATCTCCAGAACCAGCTTCTGTTCCCCAATTCCTCAAAAGTTTTCTTCTTCCTCATCCATAAGAAGGTAAGAAGAGCCTGCTAGTCCAGCAGCCTATTCTCACAGTGGGAAACCAGATGCCTGTGGGGAAACTGCAAGCAGGATTCGAATACAAGATCACTCTCCTCTCCTGTGGTCTTCAGAAACTGGTATTCAGAAGCATTACTGCATCTGAACCATGGAGGCAGACAGTAGTCATCATGGCTTGTAGCCACTGTCGCCACAGGGCTCTTGAGAATATCAGTCAGTGTTTGAAATTTGCACTTCTCCAGAATTTGCAATGCAATTCCCCAGCCACGCAACATCTGCAAAAGATGCATATATTAGGGTAAAGTGTGAAAAAACTCATGTATTTAGTGAAAGTAAGAAATACATTATATGATCGGAAATTTTGCTCTGTAAAAATGTACAGATTAGGCAAGACTGTGTGCAAAAAATATGAATATGAAAAGAAATTCACAATAAAATACTGATGAATTTTCATCTGGACTTTTTTTTTAAAAAAGCAAACTGATGTGGAAATGTGGAGAATTGAACCTAAGTTTGGAAAAGTTGAAAAACAGAGAGAAACCGGTACTGGCATATGTGAATTAGGTTGGTTTGCCTTTAAATGCAAACTGTTTCTAATTTCTCCCTCATCCCCTACCTAGGCTAGGAGAAGAGGATGTGTTTGCTATTTGTTTGAGCTCAGGTGGCTGCAGTTTAACTACCGGACTGGGCACTTGCTGAAACAGGAACCAGGAAGTGAAAGTGGGTGGCACGCCTACTGAAAACCAGGGAACAGCAAAACCTCACGAAGGAATACCTGCAGGTAACAATATATAATTTTGTCACTTGTCATTTAAGCAGCTGATTTTCTAGGTTTCGTGTTGGTCACTTTGAGGAAGCCACTTCCTAATTTTGTTTTACTTCTCTAAACCAAGTTAATCTCCTTCCTCTCCTCAGTTTTGTGGGTGGTTCTTGGGACCTGGCAGGTCCTAGGAAGGAAAGTAGAACAAGGAAGCATCTGAGAGGGCTGAACAGAAGGTAAGGGGCACAGCACTGTGCCAGACGCTTGGTGATCTGAAGTTGCTTATTTTTTTGCTGCACCCTGAAAATTGCAAAAATGAGTGTATGAGAACCATTCTTTTGGCCTGACTGGCAAACAAGCAATTGGCCAGGTAACCAGTATCGGAGTCTGAAATGCTAGCACAATCCAGCCAGGGGCATCTTCAGGTTTGAGAAATGGGATGCGGGTGGCGCTGTGGTCTAAACCACTGAGCCTCTTGGACTTGCTGATCGGAAGGTCGGTGGTTCAAATCCCCGCAACAGGGTGAGCTCCCGTTGCTCTGTCCCAGCTCCTGTCAACCTAGCACTTTGAAAGCAAGCCAGTACCACTGAGCTATATGCCTTCCCTTATCTTCTTTTTCTCTATCTGCAGATAAAACAGAACATCAGAAAGGAGGCTACAGACGACCAAGAATGGCTTCCTCAGGGAAAGATTTTGGCCAGGAGCTAAGTGATCAGATCCATGATGTACTGACCCGACTGGAAAGCAAGCAGATGTTCCAGACTGCCTGGGACATTGCGGCATTTGTCATTTTCTTTTCTTTCATTGGTAAGTTGGAGGGTGTGGCAGAGAAATGAGGGAAAAAACGGTTGCCTTTCACAGCTGATATTGTTTTTTCTCTAGACCTTGAGCCATGTCCCTTGATGATTTGGGCGGATCGCTATGGCTCAAGTTGCTTTGGTTGTTGACGCAGAAAATCCAAATGGCCCCATCCCATAGTGGTGCAAAAAATATAGATTATATATTGGAAGAAACTGAATTTTAAATAACTAAAGCAGCCTTGCTGAAGCTAAGCAGGTCAGGGTTTAAGCAGTGCCTGGAGCTGGGAGCCCACTCAATGTCTCTTTAAGCTCCATGAAAGGTGGGATATACATTACTAAAGTTGTCTCCACTGAACCATTTAACAGTACTGTAAAATGTGTGTCCTAGGACAGGCTACAGTGCTTCTTTGTGGGCTGGCCCTCCTTTTCTAGACAGGGAACTCAGAAACTGATGGATACAAACTATTCCATCACCTCTGCTGAGACCAGCTCCCTTTGACTCTTTCTCAAATTATCTAGTGGCAGCCATTCTATCAGGCTGCTCTCATCTCAGTTGGTCATTTTAACTTTTAAGAACTGGTGCCTGAGCTTTTTCCCTCGCTCCTCCCCTCTTTTTCCTCAGGTGCCACGTATTTTAGATTGCAAGCCAGACAACAGGGACAGATGATCTTTGTGAGCTGCACCAGCAGCCTATTTTGGCTGAAGAGCATGGAAGAAAACGCTTTAAACAATTCTTTCTGTCTTCCAGGTGTGGTTCTCTTCATGGCCCTCATTGTTCTTATCCGCTGCTTTTGCTGTTGCTGTGATTGCGATTCATATGAGGTGGTGAACATTTTCTGGTATTATATTCCCACACCTAGAGCAAGGATCCTCAATTTGGGGTGGGGGTGGGTGGGCCCGGGAGCACATTTGAAAATCTAATTAATTATCATGGGCACCACAATAAACCCATTTCAGAGAGGAAAACCTGGTGATGCTCATAACTCCCCCCCCAAAAAAAACTCTACACCCCCTGAAAGAAATGAAGAGGCGAAAGAGGCAATATTTCCCCCCAAAACAGGTATCCCCTCACCAAGCCCCTTAAAAAAAATCGTTTTGAAAAAATGAGCAGGGGAGCATATGAGGTCATCATGATCTTGGGATGTGAGAAAAGGGTAATATGGCATTAACAGACTACTTGGGCTAGAAGCAGATCCGGGCTCAAATACACAGCATAGCACTGTGGGCTGCATTCGCACAAACAGGGGCAATGTGCATTCCACACCCTTGCCATGGTTTACTGCTTGAGATTCTAAAACCTTGCTTTCCTGTACACAGGTCCCCAGAAAAAAGGCTGGCATTGTTAACCCAGGCATGGAGCTGTAGTTTTGCCATGACTGATCACCTAAGCAACCAGGAAGAGGACCAAATGTTTGTGCTTTTACTGGATTTTCTCATCTGCACTGGAATTAACTGTAAATTTGACCTTGCCTGGGCAGGCATGTATGATTAGGGAGGCACTGGAGGCCAGATGCACCAATTGTGACAATACTTAGCCCAAATCTGGTTGCATATTAAACTGAATAGTCAAACCCATTCCCTACGGTTCGGTATCTTCTGCTTTTTGATCACTGGAGAGAAGATCACAAGGCAGCAAACTCCTCTCCCAGTTGGTTTTGTTTGTTTCATTAAAGGAGGGGCAGATCAAGATCGGCTACTTGGGTTTTCTGGCTGACTCACATAAAGCCATAGTAGAAAAGGGATACGTAACTCTCAACAACCATCACAGGGAATGGGTCAATGCTCTTTTCTTGTGTAGATCAAGATGCTGCATACTAATGGCAGATCTGCTGTTTCCTCTCCACCCCCTGCCCCCCCCTTATACTATTTCTCACCCACGAATACTTTGGCCAACTGGGAAACCTACACTTCATGTGTCTAGAGAAATGTGCTCTAGTCCACAAAAGATTACACCACAATTACATCAGTTAGCTGTCAACGCGCTGTGATGAAATTTCCTTATTTTGCTGTAAAATGGAGCCTGAATCAGTGTGAAGTCTTTATCCTCCTGGTTTCTTACAGTCAACTGCTAATTGCAGTAATAAAGTCACATGGCTATGATGGGGCAAGCAGCAAGAGAAGCGTTACTGTTCAAGGTTCAGTAGGTTCCAAGGAATGTGCTTTTTGGATGTTGCGGTGAACACATGAATGCCTCCTAATTAGTGTAGTATAGAAGTTGCATTCTGGGTCATCTTGATTTTGAACTGGGCTCTGTAGAGACTCGCCCTACAAACCATTAGCAGAGGGAGCCCCCTCGATTGTTTCACTGTCCTGAGAGATTTTGGGGCAGCCCTTAAGCCAGGGCGTCCAATGTGTAGCCAAAAGGCTGCATGCAGCCCTTATCACCTTTTTTGGTGGTCCTCAACAATATTTGAGCCCCCTCCTAAAAAAAAAATGCCTTCCCAAAGCAGGGTAAGGGAGGCACTGGGCTTTGGGAAGGAGATGTGGGGGTTTTGGCAGTATGCTAGAGTCCTCCTTCCCAAAGCTTAGTTAACTTCTTTCCCAGCTTTGAGGAGACACGATGACTCTAGGGCTCTTGCCAGAGCCTTGTGTCTCCTTCCCAAAGCCCGGCACCTCACTTAGCCAGCTCTGGGAAGGCAGAGCGAGGGTGGTGTGTTTGTGTGTTCAACTTCTGCCCTTGCTTCCCTCTTCCCCATGTAATGAGGCAGAGTGCAGCCCATGGGTTCTGTGTCAAAGTACTCTTGCAGCCCACTTGGGCCACCCTGCCCTAAGCCATGTCATTCCCCGCTACAAAAGTGCAACTGACAACTTCATTGTATAGTTTTTGTCATATGCTGAAGATACACCTCTTTGCCCCGGCCTTTGAGATTTTTAGGATCCTTGCTATTCATCTGATTGAAATATTAAAATTAGTTTAAAACAATGAGCATTCTACATGGTTGAAACCTGTTCTGGTGAAGGGCTGTTAAACAATTTAATAATTAACAACAGGCAGAGTCGAGGCATCCTGTATCAACTTAATACATTTTGACTAACTCCAACTAACTACACATCATTGGGGTCTCCTTTGAAACATAGGTTTGCAACTTCAGCCACACAGCACAACGGTCAGGGATTTTTATTTAACGACAACAGCAGACCAGTTCAAGGAATGATTCGTTCAAGTTTAGCAGCAACCGACCACTCTGCCACCAAGACAAACATGTATGTTTTGCATTGCTTAGTGGTAGACGGGCATAGCGATGGCTCAATGGAAGACATGATGGAGGTGGTGCCTCTGGCTATCCACCAAAAGAAAATTGTTCCCGACGCCGCTGGGGTTAAATTGTAGAGATGAATCTTCCACATTGGCGCAAGAGATTTGGTGGTGGTGATGGAAGGGACAGCAAACCAAAAATATGACGAGGAAGGAATGGCTCTTTGTAGCCCACCACACACACCAAATTGGTCCCTCTTGTCATCCCTCCATAACAGTCCAGCCCTGGCTTCATTTTCCCTGTTCACAATCACACCTTTTCCTCTAATGAAGGGAAAAGGGGAGCCTGTGGCCCTCCAAGTCTTGCTAGACTTCAGCTCCCACCAGTCAGCATGGCCAGTGGATCAGGGACAATGGGAGTTGCAGTCCTGTGACATTTGGAGAGCCCATTCCCTGCGCTAGAGGGTTGGGATTTGACTAGTGTTCACCAGCTTGGAAAGGAATAGGTGTACTTCTAAAGTGCTAATAAATAATGATATTCGACACATGAGGATGCCAACACTGGGCATGGTGCCTACCCAGCTGCCACCATGAACAGTGGGATCCAGTAAATCTTCACACATACACAGCTTATACAATGATTTCCTCCCAGGAAGAGAGAGAGTGGCTGAAATTGCAAATGGACCACTATTTGAGGCAGGATCAGTAGAGCTTGTAGTTCCAGTAGCCAGAAAACACAGAGATCTGGAAAATAAGAGGGGGAGAGGTTGTCAGAAGCCGCATCATGCTCATGCTCAAGACATCTGTTTGGCAACCCCCAACCTAAGGTTTCCCATCCCTGCTGTAAAAAGGTAATTGGTGTGGAATCCAAGAATGAGCAGGGAATGGGGATCCTTAATTCAAATCTCACTTTTGTCACAAACTTAGAGGTTGTCTAAGCCTCCACATCCCACCCTCCCAAATCTGAAATATGGGGATAATATCAACCTACCTTGACAGGGCTGTTAGTTCATTTTTCCTTCGCATTTTACTTGAAATAGGCTTAGCTGTAGCAGTCTAAATGCTCTAAATGTGCTATATTATTGCTGTTACTATCTATACATCAGCAGGACATATGCTTTTAAGTTTCACACAATCCAATGCTATTTGCCTTGCCCCCAGTGTGTCTCCTTTTTCCACATCAGATACAGAACTAACACTTCACTAAGTATACCAGAAGTAGTCAACGTGGTGCCCTCCACATGCCCACTCAGCCCCAGCTATCATAATTAACGGCTAGGGCTGATGGCAGTCCAGCAGCTTCTGTAGGGCATCACACTGGCTGCCGCTGCAAAATACTTTCAACATCCAGCGGCCTCCCCTGGACCCCAAAAGCAAGGAATGCCCTTTGCCAACCACGTCATCTCTTTCCACCACCCGACCTTGTCCTTCAGCTGCTGGCACAGCTGCAGGGAGACCGTGAAAAAAACGAGGGCGTCATTCAGCCAGGGCACGACACACTCCACTTTGTGGACATGGTTCACTTCATATCTTTGGTTGTTGAACTCACTACAGAGAGAGAGAGAAAGAGAGAGATATGCTGGGCGCAGGGAGGTTACACAGACAAAATTCCACCCTATTCCCTCAGGCCTTCTTCACCATAGTGTGATGTTATTTATTCATTTATTTTAT